TGGGTGTTAGGAAACTCATTCTATTAGAGTGCTTACCGTATATCAAGACAAAACATTTCTAGACTTGATTTTTTTTTGCCTAATCTCTGATTTTTTCCTGTCTGGCCTCTGTTGATAACAACGGGTATGATAATTAGAAAATTATCATATTGTCTTGTGGTTATGATAATTAACCCGAATAAAAGGGGACATGAGTGGTGTTGGAAAATTGTACAGTCTAGTTTTTCAGGATTCTGGAAGCTTCTAAAAGTTCTTGTTGATTTCTGGAGCCTCCTTGCATGTTTTAGAATTGTTTCTAAAAACTTCTGAAACCTCAATTATCTGAACTCCAGGGTACACCATGACGTCCGAAGGAAAACCAGTACCCAGTGTCACTAAACGATTGCTCAATTCTGGATCCCGTAAGTTCTGAATCGTCCTGACCACTTTCGAAACCATCATTCATTTCAGAACTTCCATCTTTTCGTCGAAACGGAATTTTCTACGTTTTGCTTGCCCTCTTCTTGTATATTATAGTCGTCACAAGACCCCAACAAACTATGGTGTTGAGTAGAATGATGGAAGTTCCACAGATTCAAAGAATCCCAAGTAACGATTATCAGGAGATTTCTAAAGTGGAGGTGAAATCGAAGAAGTTGGAACAGAAGCCAGATTGGGATACGTTGGATGGAATTGGATTTGAGTTTGAAGAGGTGAGATGGGATCCTAGGAGAATTCGAAAATTCAAAATTCGAAAGATTAGAATTGCCCGCGGTATGTCCGGGGTATCAGGTTCCTGTGATAAAATAGAAGAAAATCAACAAGAAATGTAACAAAATCGGTTTATTATGAACAAGTTAGAAAGAAACAACAGATAAAACCTTAGAATTTAAGCAAACTCACTTAAAATCCTTAAAAGAGTCTCTAGAACAACTACGAGCCAAATCCAAGCTCGCAATCACTCAAAACTAAATTCAAACTGTGCGCGCGCCGAGCGGGATAGCGGAGTGTCGTTGCGTGGTTAGAGGGAACCTTTAGAAGGAGTTGGGGGGTAGATGCACCAGGCAACTTTAGGATTCATTAGATCCAGAATCTGAACTTTCAAATAACAAATTTAAAAAAAATATTAGGAAAAATTCGAAAGTTCGAAGTTCTGAAATTGGCGAAATTCCGGAAAAAATACCTTTAACATTCTAATGGAGTGCCACCCAAACCTTAAACTTTGAGCTCAATTATCTCGGTTCCTAAAAGAGATATCTAAAATTTGTCAACTGATAAAATATTGGATATGTTATGATAAGCATTTTATCAGTTGAGCAAGTTTTGATATCTCTTATAGGAACCGAGCTAATTAAGCTCAGACAACTGTGGCCTAAAACAGAAAATTGAAATTTTGGAGAAATCCAATAAACCCAATTATTTTGAGAACCCACATTTCTCGGTTCCTTTGAAAGATATTGAAATTTTGTCAACTGATAAAATGCTTATCATAATATCAGTAACATTATGTCAGTTTACTAATTTTTGTAATCTGTCATGGCAACCGAGATAATTGAGCTTGACGTGCACTTATCGGGCGAGCTCCTATTAGAGCAAATTTTCAGAGTCCGTTTTTCAGTTTTTAAAATTCGACATTTCCAGAACAAACCAATCGTAATGGATCCTCGTTTCTACGACATGCTAAAACTCCCCCAATGCGATTTGACCAAGGATAAGGTCCCATCANNAAATCATATCAAAGAGGCGATGAACCTATTTTCACAGTGTGGTTCGACCGAATTGTTGAGAAGATGGAGAGGGCGATATTAATCCGGAAATTGATCCTTGGAAAATAGATATTTCCAATTATAGATTTTCAGATGAACACCAAGTTCTCTGAAACTCGTCTATGTGAGGCGGCATTCAAGGATATGGATGTGATTCCAATGACAAATCTACATGAGACTAAATGGGCGATTTTGCCGCATTGTGTAAGGGAAAATCCAGTGGAGCAAACTTGCATTTTTACTTTTATAGAGAGAGGAGAATATCATGGTCACCATTGGAATCGGACATGACACCTATGGAGAGGAGAGATTGAATCGGGTAAATGACTCAAATCGCTAAGATTGGGGTATCGGTCTGCATTGTGACATGCTGGTGTTCGCTGGAACCCTAGGCTACAGTAGTTCCTACAAACACCATCAAGTCAAATTGCGGACAAAAATTTGCACCAGTCCTCATAACTAATTAGTTAAACAATTAAAAATATTTTAGACGCTCCCGAACACAAATTCTTCGGTGCGGACCCAATCATTGAGCCAAATCGTCAATTGTACACTGCATTTGGAAAATACTTTCCATTTGCAATTGGAAAGAAACCAGGATTCACAAAGTTCCGAGTATTGCCAAATCAAAATCAGAAGACTAGAAAATACGAATTTCAAGATGTCACTACCATTCCATTCACCTACTTTTTATGGGACATTTTGGGATTGAAGGTATGAAACATCTTGGGTCCAAGAATTCTAGATTTCGTTTTTAAGATTGAGGCGTTTTCAAGAACAATTTTTTTCTGAATCAGGCAAACATTCCCCAGGCGGCGGACATTTTGGGTCTAACTGTCAATATTTTGTAGAGTTCTGAAAGTCGCGAGTTCCTCAGAAATTCAGAAATTCAAAATTTCAGAATTATGATGTTCTGAAATGTGGTATTCCCAAAATGTACTCATTTTCTGTTAAAAACTTTGTCGAAATATAACTTTCTGAAAATTTCCGGTTCAAGAAGGCCATACGACTATAACCGTAAGATCATAAGACCATAATAACAAGCCTAAGACGCTTAGGCTAAGCGCCCTGCTTTTCAGAAATTTCGATATTCAAAAATTTGCTTTTTTTTTTGAAAAATCAAACTTTTTTAAAACCAAAATATAATTTTTATGATGACCATATGACCATAAATTCAGACAATAAGAGTCCGATTTTTCGAAAAGTTCGAAACTTTTTTCTGATTTCGAAAGACGATTTCAAGTGTTTATCACTTCTGGAAGTTCTAGAATCAATTCGATTGCGTTCTGAAATTAGAAGCNGTATAGTTTTGTGAATCTCAACGAATTTCCATATTATGAGACTATTCAGGGCTCAGAATTTTCCAGAACCTTCCAGAATCTCATAGATTATTTTTTCCAGCAATAACTTTCCAGCAATAATCAAAAACTATTATAAGATTCTGCTTTAAAATTCAAAATCCCGACTCTCAGAATCTTCCAAAGTCATTTCTAATTTATTTCCAGCAAATCGACATAGCCTGGATTGACATTGAAGGTGGAGAATTCGAGTTCTTGGACCAATTCTATCGAGGTGGACCAATGGATGAAAAAGGAATTGTAATCTGTCAATTCAATTTGGAAGTTCATTCGAAATTCAATCCCCCAGGAGCTCAAGTTTTTCATGATTTCGTTTTTCGAATCCTGGATGATAAGAGATACATTTTTACAAAAGTTTTGAATACGGACGTTGGAATTCATCGAATGTTTTTCGTAAATGTGGAGGATATGAGATGTGTTTGATAGTACTTTCAATGAGAACTTTGTTGTTTTGTATAGGGGATTTTTGTAGTTCATGAAACATTTTGGTTTGAATAAATAAGGTCAGTAAACTATTGAAGTGTTTTTTATGCCGAAAAGTTTACAAAGAAAAATAGAACATCGGGAATGTTTCTGGTACGATCAACCACTAGTTACCACATCGGAAAAATAAAATTCAAGATCTCCAGAAATTTCAATAATCCATCTGAATTTTTTTTTCTTTTTGAAAAGTTTTCTGATTTCTCTTCCAACTATCAGAGTCTTTAGATGTTTGCCAGAACTGTTAAGGTAAATATGATATGATAAGAAAACTGTTGCCACACTAGGATTATTATTATTCCTTCCGCTGCTTACATTTGCTTTTCTGTTACTTCTTTACGTTTTGGCTAGGAATCGAATATTTAGGTTTTCTGAATTGTCTCTTATATTTGCCTAACTAGGGAAGGCCCCAACTCGGGTGTGGCGATACGCATGGTGACCTATATCATCTGAAAGCTGTCATTCTCCTGGTTCCAAATCTGTTTTTAAAAAGTGCAATGTCGTTGTAGTTTACGAGAAAATTGGGTCAGTAGTTTCGAAAAATGACGTGGATTTTTAATCTCATTTTGCTTGCTCACGCTTGTCCGATACAACCACCGGAAAAATACAATGAAAAAATACAGAAAAATTTTAGCAGGTCGAGGGAGTCGAACCAGAGAGTACCCGCTTTATATTCCTCCTCACTAACCACTCGACCACGCTTCCACATTTCACAGGTAGAGGGGGACTGCCGAAAAACGGGCCGTCTGGCGGGCGCGGACTGCCGAAAAGCGAACAGTCGGCAGTCGAATCGCGCGCCGCCGACGGTCCGTCTGCAACGATTTGCGCTTCGAAGACGGACCGTCTAAAATGATAGCGCTTTCTTGACAGTTCATCATTAAACAGGTAATAAACGATAGAATTCTTTATTAAACTAATAGTTTCTGTGGATTGTGTATTGTATTGAAAAAATAACTCCAAAATTTTCAAAGTTGAAATTTTATGATTAGAATGAGAGAAAACACATAAGAGATCACACATTCTATAGGGAACAGAACTTCGATTTTCTATTTGTGTTTTCACAAAATTCCAACTTTATAAAAATTCAAATTTTAAAATGCGAAGATTTTTTTCTCGTTCCTTTCGTTCTTTTTTCCTTCTTCGTTTCTCGTTTTCAATTTCTTTCGGTTCTCAGCATTTCTCTCATTGAACAGTATTTTCCGCTTTTATATGACTTTCTTTCAGAATAAGTAAAATTGATGAGTTCGTAACATGAATTGAGCACCCAAAAAACTGGCATATAAAAAATCTCTACATGTTTAAGGCTTAGCGACATTTTTAGCAGAGACTTCAAAAGTTCGACATATCGCATGTGATATTTTAAAAGCCAACCGGAAGCAGAAAAAGCAACAGATTTTCGAACAACTTTTCATGCGCGAACCTTGCAAAGTTGTTACTTTCCATAGCACTTGCAAAACATCACACTTGCGAATTGTCGGCAAGGCGAATTTTCGGCAACAGAATGAGAAAGTTAAGAGATTTCGATAGTTTTTGCTTCGGAGCATATGTTTTTGCTTCGGAGCATACAAAAACTCACCAACTCACCACAAAAAAATTTCTGCAACGTTAAATTTGTTACTTTCCGAAGCAAAAAATTGCGAAACATTAGAAACTTATGGCAAAACAAGTTTTTACCGATTTTTTTCGCATTTTCAACTAAAACGCGAGAAAGAAAGTGCGCGAATGTTTTTGTTTTTCTAATGCCAGTATTTAGATAATTTGAGCGAAAAATACTGAATTTCAATGAGAAAAACTTCGAAAAACGAAAAAAAAACTGTGAAAATTAGACGAGAAATCGCGCCTCAGATTCTAATTTTCGTAGAAGTGCTTCTAATAACACATTTTATAGATTCCCAGATCCCTCTATGACTTTTATCATGTTTTAAGAGAAACATCTTTTTTCAACCAAATTTTCCATTCTGCAGAAATTTGGCCCGCCAACCACCGGTCATGACCAGTCAGCGCCTCTTCGACTGCCATTCAGCAGTCGTTCAACAACCTATTTTTTGAGGTGGTCCTATTTTAGGAAAATAAGATTCTGTCATTTCCTATAATCTAGTGGGGGGTATGAGAAATTGTTTTCTGAATGATTTCCAATCAAAACCTTCAAGTCTGTTTTCCAACGAGTTCCGACTGTCCGTCGACGGACCGTCGACGGCCCATCAGTTTTCCTTCGGCTGCCAACTAACAGTCATTCGCCAGTTGATAAGTGATGAGTGATGATAAGTGATGAGTATGTGCATATTCCAGTATTGCTCAAATCAACCGTTTGTTTGGGACTTGTAACCACAACGATGAACAGAAAAAACTTTGAATAAGAACAAAAATAGTTCAGAGTTTTCCGATTTGTTTGAAAGTTTCAGAACATGCTAAACAGAACTAGATCTCCATTTTTGTTATTTACAACTTTTTTGTACAATTCAAGGCTATGACGGTGCACTTCATTGTCCTCAGTTCAACAACTTCTGCGCCTACCTTGTCAATATGGAAATTGATACTGCCGGATGAATTATATCGAGAGATAATGATTTGAAATCTCTTTTTTTGTTTTTAGTGATGATGTGATTTAAAAAACCCCTACTTAGTGTACTAACACAGGAGTGCTGTTACATAATTCTGCTGATTTACTTAAAGACGGGGATGAACCTGGATTGAGTTTGTACTTTCACATTTTTATCATAGAGGCTGAATTAGACATTTCAGAATGACAGGATTCCAAGATTCAGAGATTCAAAAATTCTAGGGTTCCAGGATTTTAAGATTCCGAGATTCTTAAACTCCAGAATTCTAGGATTCCAGGATTCCAAAATTTCACAATTCCAGGGTTCCTGGATTCCAGGATTCCAGAATTCCAGAATTACAGGATTTCGGGAGTTTCAAACTCTAGTGTTCCGAGATTCCAGAATTCTAAGATCCCAGACATTCAGAATTTTGAAACCTCAAGATTCTAGAACTCCTATGTTCCAGGATTCCGAAATTCCAAGATTCCAGGATTCCAGGATTCCAGGGTTCCAGGTGATGGTTTCGAAATTCTGAGATTGGCGTACATAAAAAATAGGTCACGAACTTTAAAAATTCACGTGAGAAAAAAGTGCTACGCCTACGTGAGCGCCTAGTTTTTTTTGATGACGTGGTTATGTATGAAGGATTTTGAAATATTCAAAAAAAAAAATTATTCCAACCAATTCAAAAGAAGGGCGCTCTCCGTTTTGAAAAAGGGTGAGTCTAAAACTATGAAAATCTAAAATTCTGAAAGTTTGGAATTTTGAATTTTTGAAGTTCTGAAATTCTGAAATCCCGGAATTCTGAAATACTGAAATTCTGAAATTCTGAAGTTCTGAGATTCCGAATTTTTGAAATTCTGAAATTCTAGGATTTCTGAGATTCCGAATTTTCGAAATTCTGAAATTCTAGGATTTCTGAGATTTCGAATTTTTGAAATTCTGAAATTCTGAAATTCAGAAATTCAGAAATTCTGAAATTCTGAAATTCTGAAATTCTGAAATTCTGAAATTCTGAAATTCCGAAATTTTTGATATTCTGAGATTGTGAAATTCGGAAATTTTGAAATTTGGAAATTCTAGGATTTCGAAATTCCGAAATTTTGAAAATCTCAAACTTTAGAATTTCTGAAATGATGGGATTCTCCAATTCAGAAATTTCGAGATTCTGAAATTTGGAAATTCAGAATATCAGAAATTCAGAAATTCGAGAAAAAAAGAAATTCTGAGATTCTGAAATTTTATGGCTCTTATGAGATCTGGAAATTCGGAAATTCTGAAATTTCTAAAATCATGGGATTCACAAATTCTGAAGTTTCGAGATTCTGAATTTCAGAATCTCGGAAATTCTGAAACTCTGAGATTACGAAATTTCGAGATTCTGAAGTTTTGAAATTTGGAAATTCTGAAATGTCATTTTTTCAGACTTGCGAGACGTCGCAACCTTGGTAGGATCCAAAAAACACCCCAGAGCAATACGAATTTTCGGAAAATGTTGAAATTTGGGTCTGTGTCAGTTGGACGTGGTCGGCGCACACCGGCAAACCTTGGCAGTCTGCCTCGAAATGTGTAAACCAGAACTATCGGGAAAAAACTGAAACTTAAACTTCTCTAAGACTCATAAGTCTTTGGCGAGCAGAGACGGGGTCGTTTTTGTTTTCAGTTTTAAAGGGTGGTACAACTGATAAGAACTGCAGAAAGTTCTTGAATTTTGTACCGGCGTTTTGAGTCCCAGATATTGTATTTTGGCAATTCAGCCGGACGCTCGGAACACTGAGGGTGCCTCCGGCCCCATCTGACACATAGGGTCGTCGCCTTGGTACTATTTTGTATCATAAGACGAGCTCTTGCCCACCATCTGCAAATTTTCGCCAATAAACCTTGAGGGATCTATCTGGAGCTGGGTGGCTTGTTAGATTCTGCTGATAGGTGTACGGATCCTAGTAACCCTGGGTAAACGTATTATTGCCTTCTCTCGGGTTTCGGCCTGTTTGCAAGCGATACCTTTATGGTGTAAATGCGGAGATGGTTATTTTGACTAGACTGAAATTCATTGAGCTCTGGGGGATGTGAAGGACACCGATCAACAAGTGAGACTTTGAAATTCTGAAACTCTTAGAATTCGAGGACCTGAGATTCTGAAAATCCGAAATTTAAAGATTCTGAAACGTTAATGTTCTTAAATTCCGAAATGACGAAGGTTTGAAATTCTTAAAATCGAAATTCTTAGATCCTGGGATTCTGAGATTCTGAGATTCTTAGATCCTGGGATTCTGAGAATATGAGATTTTGAGATTCTGAGATTCTGAGATTCTGAGATTATGAGATTATGAGATTCTGAGATTCTGAGATTCTGATATTTTGAGATTCTGAGATTTTGAGATTTTCAAATTCTGGAAACCTCAAGTTCTGAAATTTTGAAATTTTGATTTTCCGATATTTAAAACGTGAACTCATAATTTTTTTTCGAAATCGTGACTAACCAATTTTTCAAAATTATTCATTTTGTTTTTTTTTTCAAAAAAGTATGGTTCTGATTTCTGAATTTTCTGAAAATTCTGAAACTATTTTTTTCAGAATTCTTCGATCTGGAATGCTGATTTGTCCGGCGGATCCAACGGAGATCACAACGTTTCGATGGAGTTCAATGTGGGTTTTAAAAAAATGATAGTTCAATTTTATTGATTTTTTCAATAATTTGAAATCTGTTTAATACAAAAAAAACTATCGCAATTTCAGAACGCCCCTTCAGCAGCTCTATCGACGTTTTCACAAATTCTAAAAATTGGGACAAGTACAGTAAGAAAAATATCAATTTTCTTGAAATTATTCTAAAAATTTTCAGATGGATTCAACGGATTTTCCGGGGGATGTCGATGGACTTCGGCAGGAAATTTCTGTGAACTTGATTGTTTTTTGTGATCTCTTTTTTTCTTCTTTTTTTTTCGTTGCGCGGGATTTTCTCCGGTTTTCGTGGTTTCTTGTCTTCGTTGTCCTCTCAGGTTTTGGGTTTTAGCGGTCGGTGTTTCGGGATTTGGTGTTGGATTAGTAGCTAGTTAAATTCGTGAAGGCGTGATATAAAATTTGCTGGAACGTTTGGACTTTAATCTAAAAGTTGGACTATAATCTAAAATTGGACTATAATTTGTAAATTGGACTAAAAATTGGACTAGTGTTTGGACTAAAATCGAAAAAATGGACTATCAAAAATTACAGTAACCAAAAACTAACAAAAAATATGATTATCAAAAGTAAAGGTTTGAAAAATGTGTAAGAAGAGTTTTAAAAA